GAATTTAATCCAATTTGGAATAAGGCTGTAACATAACAAAATGTGGCAAAAGTGAAGCGCTGTGAATACTTTCTGGATGCACTGTATAACTATAGCTTGAATATGTTTTGGTAAATACCTGAAAAAAACTAAAATTGTGTGTGTCCAAATATATATGGACCTAAACTGTATATAAGGGTCGTGTACATGTGCGGCTGCCTTGGCCGATTAGGATTGGCCCAGTACAGGCGACAGCTTTCTGGAGGGGATTGCTCAGGTGGGTTCAGAATAGGATCTGATCATGGCTGAGCCCATCAACCCTACTTAGCAAAGCCTGGATGAAGATGACAGCTCCTGGGGCTGCACCTGCAGGAAGTCAGAAATGGCAGCTCCCACACTCCTGTCTTCACAGGTTTCCTTTAAGCCCTGGTTCACATATATGCGGTGCAATTTTGATAGCTGTTTTCAATGTGATTTTGTTCAGCGGTGCAGGTACAATTCTGAAGAAAACTGTCGTGTAAAAAGACTGGAAATCGCATCTGCACTGAAAATTACGCAGGACCCTTTTCAAAATCGCACTGCAGCTAGATTGCATGTATGTGAAAAGCCTCTGCAGAAAACCATGTCATTTGACCTGTCATGCGAATCTGTGTCGTTCAAAATGCATCCGAAATTGCAGGTATGTGTGAACCAGGGCTAATGCAGAACTAAACCCATCAATTTAATGGATTCAAAACCAGTTAGGGCTTTTCACATGGGTGTTCCGTATGCCCGTTTATGGATAAAAAAAACGGACACCCAAGTATTTCTATGGACTAGCAGATGTATCCATTAATGTCTGCATCCGTTGACATCTGTTTTTTTTTTGAAAGGAAGAAAAGGAAAAACGGATGTAAACGGACATACGGTTTGCTTTTGCATTGGTAAATGATGTAAAAAAAACCCTCAGATGTAAACGGATGAAAAACGGATGTAAACTGATCGTTTTTTTTCTTGGGAAAAACGTGACTGAACTGATGAAAAACGCCCATGTGAAAGGACCCTTATGCTCCCTCAGGGGTGTGGATATTTTTAAAAAAAAAAACTACTTGTCTAAGGGACTAAATCAGTGTCCCAATCTACTTGTTCCTCAAGACAATCTACTTGTCCAGATAAAAAAAAAAAGTTAACCAAAACCAAATTTAAATCAGAGGTGATATTAGGAATGTTTTAAAAACAAAATGGGCTTTATGGCGACTTAAACGTGTAATATTTTTAACACTGTGCTGTTTATCGCCTCCTCCCCTCCCTGCCTGTCTCCAGCACTGCACATGGGAACTAGCAGGGAAGAGAGACACTATGCAGTGTAATGAGCACTGATTGGGTGCTTGTCAGGAAAGGGGAATGTTGGGCTTATCCTTTATCACTTTCGCTGTCAGAGCTGTTTTTGTGTTTTTTACACAAGATTAAAAAAATAATTTTAGGCCTGAAGATTGCACAAAATCCCCAAACATTATATATTTTCTGAAATCAGAGACCCTAGAGAATAAAATAGTAGTAGTTCCGATTTTTTATATCGCCTGATATTACCGCAAAACTTCAGTATTTCAGTAAAAAATACTAGTTAATTTTAGGGCACAAAAAAAGCACTACATTTTTTGTAAAATAAAAAAAGATGAGGTTGCAGCGAGTAAATAGATATCCAATCTGTCAAACCTTAAATTTGCATGCACTCGTGAAATCGCAACGAACTTCAGTACCCTATATTTTCTATAGGTGACGCTTTTAAAACCCCTTCTAGGTCATCTGTATGGCGTTATGAAGGAGGTCTAGTGTTAGAATTATTGCTCTCATTCCAGCCTGTTACATGTGTATCACAATCAATGCGTAGGCACCCCAGTGTTTGCTTCTACATTTGTATGTACATATACGGGGGGAGATGTTATGTGCTTGGGTGTAACTTTTATTTTTTACAATAAAAAAAAAAAAACTTTTTTTTTTTAATCACATAGGGGACAATGTCCTCTATGTGATGATGTTTTGGTGACAGGTTATCTTTATTAGACATCCAAGGTCTAAAAGACCCTGGATGTCTCCCCTCTGCTCCCCTGAATGTAATGCAGATCGCACTGCATTACATTCTTTCCCGGCCTCAATTGCCGGGAATCTCTCAACGTGGACCCGGAAGTGACATCAAAACGTCACTTCCGTGTCAGGACGAGAAGGGGAGGGGAGTGGACGTGTCCGCTCTCCTCCCTCCCTCTAGCCAGCGGCGGTGAGCCAGTCCCAGGCCTGCAGATAGGCAAGTGGAGCCCGGGAGACAGTGGGCGAGGGGAGTAGCTGAGAGGCTGGCACTCTGTGGAAGCAATCAGCAATAGTGAGCTTACAAGTGAGCCCTCTACTTGCCTGCAGCAGGGCTGAAGGTAATAAAAAAAAAAAAAAAAAAAAAAAAAAAAAAAAACTACCTGCTCGGTGCCCGGAACTGCATGTCCTGGGCGTTGGGAATTCAACATCCCTGTCCCTGCAAGCCAGGAATGCTAATCATCGAAAAATAGAAGGGGTGGTGCAGCAGGATCAGTCCAACATTTGCCATTTTTTCGGATTACGCGTCAATAAATCCACACATTTTAGTAGAGTGTGCAGCCAATTTCTATGAATTCCAAGCCAGGAATGCTAACGGTCACATTTGCTTGTGCTCTGAACCAACTGTCAAGCCATCAAATGGCTGGAGATATAACGGATCACATGTACAGCACCATGGCAGTTGCAGATCAAATAGAGACTAAGATTGCAGCTTCCTTGGCTGAGAAGGATAGGAGGGTTTAGTTCTTCTGTAAGCTTGACAACGCAAACATTGCCCCAAAGCTCTTCCATTGGGCTAGGTTCACATCTGTGCATAGCGGCCAGCAACACATGCAAAGTCATTTGCGATCTTGCAACGCACATCCCTTTTGAAGGTGGCAGTGCCATTCATTTCTAGTGGCCCCCCAATGCACCTAATTAACAAGCGCATTTTTGTGTGCCAAATCTCTCAAATTTTAAAAAAAAAAAAAAACATCCTGTACATGTGCAATTCTTTTTGCACATAGAGGAGGACGTTAAAGTGCTTAGCCCGCCCTAAACGCAACATGCAAAGATTCACAAGTACTGTCGCCCCTGCCTAGGTGTGAAAGGGGCCTTAGTGATGAAACATACAACTCTTACAAGTATATACTGTCTGCTAGACCAGGGGTCTCCAAACTTTCTGAAGGAAGGGCCAGTTTACTGTTCTTCAAACTTTTGGAGGGCTGGACTGTGGCCAGTGGGAGAAGAAAATATCTTGGTGTCAGGGGGAGTTAATAGTGCCCCATCATTGGTGTCACTGGGAGGAAGAGTGCCCCATTATTGATGTCAGCTAAAGGAATGGTGCTCCATCACTGGGAGGAATCGTGCCCCGGCGTTGGGGGAATCGTGCCCCGGCGTTGGGGTCAGCGGGGGGAATCGTGCCCCGGCGTTGGGGTCAGCGGGGGGAATCGTGCCCCGGCGTTGGGGTCAGCGGGGGGAATATTATTTTTTTTTTATTATTATACAGTATTTATAAAGCGCCAATAGTTCACTCAGCGCTCTACATTACAAAGGGGGACAGAACATGTGACAGAACAATACCAATACAATGCAAAACATGAGGGGATGAGGGCCCTGCTCTTTCGTGCTTACAATCTAGGAGGGAGGGGATGGTGGCACAGGAGGAGATAGCTGTGGGGGATGGAGTGGTAGGAAGAGTGGAGGAGGTCGGCAAGTTAGCAGGGGGTGGGGTAGGCTTCCCTGAAGAGATGGGTTTTCAGGGTGCGCCTAAAGGAGAGGAGAGTAGGTGATAATCTGATGGGTTGGGGCAGGGAGTTCCAGAGGATGGAACTCCTGGAATAGTGCCCCATCACTGGTGTCACTGAGAGGAATAGTGCCCCATCACTGGTGTGCCCCATCACTGGTGTCATTGAGAGGAATAGTGCCCCATCACTGGTGTCATTGAGAGGAATAGTGCCCCATCACTGGTGTCATTGAGAGGAATAGTGCCCCATCACTGGTGTCATTGAGAGGAATAGTGCCCCATCACTGGTGTCATTGAGAGGAATAGTGCCCCATCACTGGTGTCATTGAGAGGAATAGTGCCCCATCACGGGAGGTGTGCCCCACTGGTGTCACTGGGAGGAATAGTGCCCCATCACTGGTGTCATTGAGAGGAATAGTGCCCCATCACTGGTGTCACTGAGAGGAATAGTGCCCCAGCGTTGGGAGGAAATGTCAGCACTGGGAGGAATAGTGCCCCATCACTGGTGTCACTGGGAGGAATAGTGCCCCATCACTGGTGTCACTGGGAGGAATAGTGTCACTGGTGTCACTGGGAGGAATAGTGCCCCATCACTGGTGTCACTGGGAGGAATAGTGCCCCATCACTGGTGTCACTGGGAGGAATAGTGCCCCATCACTGGTGTCACTGGGAGGAATAGTGCCCCATCACTGGTGTCACTGGAGGAATAGTGCCCCATCACTGGTGTCACTGAGAGGAATAGTGCCCCATCACTGGGAGGAATAGTGCCCCATCACTGGTGTCACTGGGAGGAATAGTGCCCCATCACTGGTGTCACTGGGAGGAATAGTGCCCCATCACTGGTGTCATTGAGAGGAATAGTGCCCCATCACTGGTGTCACTGAGAGGAATAGTGCCCCATCACTGGTGTCATTGACAGGAATAATGCCTCGGTGTTAGTGGCAGTAACTATGCCAGAAACTGTTTCTGACAGTGAGGGTAATAATGGCCCAAAGGCCAGAAAAAAAGCAAACAGAGGGCCGCAGTCGGCCCCAGGGGCACAGTTTAGAGACCACTGTCCTAGACTACCGATGGGTTAGTAACGGACCACCAAGACACACTAAGTCTGGCTCTATGTTGCATTCTCCAGTCTCCATCACGAACAGCAGTGATACAAGACAGGAACCTGGGGGTCATGACAATATTGCAGAATACCCGCCCCCCATACTTTTGTCCCGGGTACCGCCTGCTGTACCTGTGATCCCCTCGCAACACCACCGATCACCCTCCGTCCCAGAGAACCAGCGAGTCTCAGCATGGACGCCGCCATCTTGTCCGTGTACCGCTGCTCGTGACGTCACTTCCGTCCCCACATTTGCCGTGTCATTGGTAGTCTGCAGAAATTGCCGGCTAGCGCTGGGAGAGATGTAAATAGGGAGAGGAGTGAGCAGTGAGCTACTGACTGATTGCAGTCCCATGTGACAGAACACTCAGTCACTGAAATAGTTCGTTAGTATTGTATGACAAACATGTTCCATAAATCACCTCACGGGTCAGTGTATGTCAGTTACCTCACAGTGCAACCAAGTGGAGGGAGAGGGGGGCAGAACATGACAGAAGACCCTAAGACTACATTCACATGCCATGCATAGTTTGCTGCCATTGAATGCCACCTCTGGATGCAGCAATACTCTGTGCTATGGCCATACACAGTGGCTAAATGGTTAGCGCTTTCGCTGGAAAGTACTAGGGTCGTTGGTTTGAATCCCAACCACGGCACCACCTGCCTGTAGTTTGCATGCTCTCCCTGTGCCTGTGTGGGTTTCCTCCAGGAACTCTAGTTTCCTTCCACAGTCCAAAGACATGCTGGTAGGTTAAATGGCTCCTATCTAAATTGGCCCTAATATATGAATGTGAGTTAGAGACCTTAGATTGTACGCCCATTGAGGGTTAGGGACTGATGTGAATGTACAATATATATGTAAAGCACCATGTAAATTGACAGCAGTATATAAGTACCTGAAATAATATACATACTGGCAGATTAGCTGCAGCCAGAATTCACCAGGACATTCCCCTGTGTCCAGGATCAGTCAGGCCCTATTCACACGTAACCGCTTGGATGAACAGCAGCAGCGCCGGCCATTTGTATGGAGTGGAAATCTGAGGGCTCGTTTACACATTTTTACTGCCCCTCAACCACTCCTTCCATAGCTGCAAAAGCAGTGGCCATGCCATGGCTGTGATGTTTTGCTTCACAACCATGGTAGGTGTTAAACCCCAGTCGTGTTTTGGCAGGCACTACCACCCATTGTACCCAACCCATTCAAGTGATGGGGCCACATTACAAATGCAACGCAATGCACATGGTTGCAACACAGTAGTCAGGCATTTAGGGGGTTAAACCAAACGGCGACTAGGCAATACAACGACTCCTCACTGCTTGTCAAATGCTCTCTGAAGAGCGATCTGAACGCAAGTGTGAGTGAATGAGGCCTGACAGCTGCAACTGTTCGAAAAACTGTGATTACTGCCGCCGGCGAGGATCCACTGATTCTTGCCGATGGACACTCCTGGAGGCAGATAACCTGTCCTGCGAATGTAGCCATAGGCATGGGAGTTTGTGTGCAGAGAGTTTTTTGTGCTCAGAGGTGGCTAAACACCACCTCTGGTGTCACATACAAATTTGTTGATTACCTATGGCTAGTTTGTGTGTGGATGAGTGGTTCTATGTGAACAGTAGTGGCACCTGCCATTTATTTGTACAGAGTAAAAATCTGACAGCCGCCACTGACACCTGCAGCTGTTCACTCACAGTATTCTGTAATTTTACATAGGCTTTCCTCCCTCCAATCCATCATGAATACTGCTGCCAGGCTCACCCACCTTACCAACTGTTCAGTGTCTGCTACCCCGCTCTGCTAATCCCTCCACTGGCTTCCACTTGCCCAACGAATAAAATTCAAAATACTAACAACTTACAAAGCCATCCACAACTCTGCCCCCAGCTACATCACCAACTTGGTCTCAAAATATCAACCAAACCGCTCTTTTCGATCCTCCCAAGACCTTCTGCTCTCTAGTTCCCGTGTCAACTCCTCCCATGCTCGCCTCCAGGACTTTTCCTGAGCTTCTCCCATCCTATGGAACTTCCTACCCCAATCTGTTCGGCTGTCTCCTAATCTATTCACCTTTAGACGATCCCTGAAAACCTTTCTCTTTAAAGAAGTCTATCCTGCTTCTACATAGTAAACCGCCATTTATTTCCTCCATCAGCTCATCCTCCCACAGCTATTACCTTTTGTGTCACTCAACCCTTCCTCCTAGATTGTAAGCTCTAATGAGCAGGGCCCTCTGTTTCCTTTTGTATTGTATTGTAACTGTAATGTCTACCTTCATTTTGTAAAGCGCTGCGCAAACTGTTGGCGTTATATAAATCCTGTATAATAATAATAATAATAATAAGGTATCAAACTCATTTCTTTATTATATTGGGTGAATTATCCCTCTACACCTCACTGGAAGAGGACTTAAAAGACCTGGTCCACTTACTCTCTTTCTTCAATACAGCTTGCCATGATACAAAATCCATGATAAACATTACCCCATTACCACACATTACCTGTCCTTATTCCATTCTTTCACTTTAAAAAATGTCAGTCTTTTACATTTTGTAGCACTTCCCCCTTAGAAGTCGCTAGAGATTTAGGTCCCCCTATAATCCTGCACAGCCAGGCAACACTCATTTCCTTCCAGCCTTGCACTCCAGAGACAGTACACAGTCCTTGAACTTGTTTTTTTTTGTGATTTTATTTGGGGATTTGAAATTGGATGGGGATGAGAGATACATGGGTTGCCCAAGGAACTGTTAAATTGAGGACAACTTCCTGGAACTATGTACAAGTGCTCACAAGGGATTATCGTCTTTGGAGAGCTATCCAGCCTCTCTTGGTGCACCTCCTCAGATCCCAGATGAAATCTCTTCTTCACCCAGCTGCCTGAGGGAATCCCTGGTCAAGAGGTCCCAGAAGCTTCCACTTTAAATGAAAACAGTCCCAGGTGGGGGCTAGTTAGGCTTCCCACAGTCTCTCTTCAAAACATGTGGGTTGATGGATGCCTCCAGGCCTACATTGGACTAGCTCCTTTCCTGCTTCCCAGGCTGTCATCTCTCAGGGGACGATGAGGCTGAGAGATCCCCCTTTCCAGCTCCTCTGCCTTCCAGTAGGCCCCTATCCTGGACCCCCTCCCAGGCTCTACACTTCATTCTGCTCACTCCATCTTGCATCCGAACTCTCCTGCGGCTGAGCAGGCTCAGTCACTCTTAAGGGCTTTCCTGACCCCATGTCAAGCCTCCTGCATGGGGATTGGCCAAGATCCCTTGAGAATGCAGACTCACTCCCGCCCACTGAATTCCAGAGACCCCTGCAAGTCTCCAGATTAGAGGGAAGTCCCAGAGAGCTGGTCTGCAGAGTCTCTCAGCCCTAACCGAAATTTGACCCCCACTGACCATTCCTCCAGGCTGATAACTAAAAAAATAATCATCTTGCTCCCCCTAGCTACCTAGGAGGGTGCTACATATTTAAATACATTTGGGGATCTAAGGGGTGTAGGTTACCAAGAGAATTTATATGCCCCCAAAATGGCTGGAGGTATAGGAGTCCATGATCTCCCAAGCTATTATAAAGTACAACTGATCCAATTATCACAAATATAGTCTACCAATTATAGACCATATGGGATCTTCTCATGTGGTTACCACCTAAAAATCATACAGCAATATTATGTCCCTCTTTGTCCCACTCCATACATCTTCGGAATGCAGTATGTTAAAGATTTCCATTGAAACTCAGAGGCTAGTGGTCCTCTTTTTAATACTCTAGCATATCCCTGAGGCCAATCCCCATACTAGTTCAGGTGGTGGATGAATAAGGGATTATATCAACTAGGGCACTTTCTAGACCACAAAGAAATCAGGCCACGAGAATATTATCTCCACACATTTAAAATACCCCTTAGAAAGTGTTCTCCATGCACCAGATTCTCAATTTCTCATGTCCACATTCTACATATCTTATAATGAAAAGTCTCTCCGAAAATAGATGAATGCAAAACACAGGTCTGCGGAGAGGCATTTTGGCTCTATATCAACTTTCCTCCACGACATCTGACAAATTACCTCACCAGCTAGCATCAGAAGCAGATCGAAGAGACATACCCTTACGCCAAGTGAATCTATGTGCACCAGACTTCCAGACTCTAGACATTTATTATCTCAAATGTATAAGCTGGTGTTAAGTACGCATTCTATGTTGGTTCCGTATTACACAAGGGAATGGGAAAAGGAGCTTGGCTTAGAATTTCCCCCTCCTCAGATACATAGGATTAATAAATTGACGCACACCTCCATCAGTTCCCGCATCCAAGAGTCTTCTTAAAAATGTTTTACTCGGTAGTATAAAACCCCATCTCGTCAGGCTCAGATGTTCTCCACCACCAATGTTCGCTGCTGGAGAGGCTGCAATCAACGTGGTACATTTCTTCACCTTTGGTGGACCTACCCCAAGATTAAAACCTTTTGGAATGCAGTTACTCTTTGGATTCAGAAACTGACCCTTAGCCAAATAGAGAGGTCCCCCCTTTGTCTCCTCTTTCATGTGATCCCATCCTCTATGAAGCTGTAAAGATTGTCACTCCCCATTTGCTGAATGCAGCTAAATCCTTGATTACTAGATCTTGGAAACAAACTGCTTGCCCTACACTTTCGGATTGGAAGAGGGAAGTAGATGCAATTATGGAAGCTGAGCAATGGGTGCACATAGTTAGGAATCATAAGAGAAATTTAGAAACGTATGGATGTACTGCATTTCTGAGATACCAGACGATTATTTTTCTGTATGTGCGCTCGTGGTTTACTTGCCTCCTTACAAACAGATTGGAAACATTGCCTACCCCTGTGTTGTTGTTTTTGCCCCCCCTTTTTTTTGTGCTTCTCCATTTTTCCCTTTTACATTTTTGGATTTCTACAAGCGGTTTATATTCTTTATATGGTTTGTTTTATAGTGCAATTGCATTTCTGGGTAATGTTTATTCTAGATGATTTTTCCACATCTGCTCGTAGAGGTCTGGTGTATTCTTTGACATGTTACTGATGCCCAGCTTATGTACGGCTTACTCTCAACATTTATTGTCTATATATGCTGCTGTATGTCCTCTGTTTTGTTTTTTTTCTCTTCCCATGAACATATTTTGTATTTGGTGTATTTTCTACTTTTGTATAACTTGAAAATGTTAATACAGATTGAAAAAAAGAAGCAGATCGAGGAACAGAAATATCTGGTCCTCAAGGACAATTAAGACATACAAAGGGATAATGAATATGACTTTAACAAAAGCAAACTACAAAGTCATATCTTGATGGCAGGGGCGGACTGACCATTTGAGAACTTGGGAACTGCCCTGGGTCAGTATGAGACCCCATGAGATGCCCCTGGTACCTTTTCATAGGCTTTTTTGGGTGTGGCTTGATTGTGGGCGAGGACACAGGGGCCTCATGATCCCCTATTGCCCCATGAGTTGTCAGTCCACCCCTGCTTGATGGTATATATACCCAGGGGCGGACTGACAACTTATGGGGCCCCCAGGCAATAGGGGATCATGGGGCCCGTGTCCTTGCCTGAACTCAAAAAAGCCTATGAAAAAGGTACCAGGGGCATCTCATGGGGCCCCCTACTGACCCCGGGCCCTCGGGCAGTGCCCGAGTTTCCAAATGGTCAGTCCGCCCCTGTATGTACCTGCATATGTTAGCCAAGATTTATTATGACACATCCTCTTTATGTTTTCGAGGGTGCAGACAGGAGGGTACCATGTACCACACCTGGTGGACCAAGGTGTAGTGAATTTGGGCTAGTCACTATATCCATGACTAATGTAAATGTACAAGAAATGGCCAGAATTGGGCTTCTAAAGTAATCAACATACACGTATATTACATTCCTAGACATACCTAATCTCTCCTAGTTTACATCTCTTTAGCAGCCAAAATGGCCATTGCAAAAGTATGGAAATTGCTTGTAGTTAATCTAGCTGCAGTATAGAATAAAATTTCTTGGATTATGCTTCATGAGAAACTGGCCAGTATCCTTCAAAACAGAGAGGATTGAAAGGATTTGGAATCTTTGGCTGCGATGCCTGGAAACACTAAAGAGAAATAGGGGGTGGGGTGAGACCAGGACCGAGGGGAGCAACTCTTGTATTCCTCTTTCTCCTCTTTTCTTCTCTTCTTCTTTTCTTTCTTGTACTCTCATTGTCTTCCTCCTTTCTTTCTATTTCTTTTTACCCATTTCTGTTCATAAATGTACACCAGCACTGTGATTGGTTGTACAGTTCCGGACTATAGGCAGTTTCTTTATTGTTACACACTACTTCACATTTCAGAATGATAAGTGCTGATCAGTGGAGATACATCTTTGACACTGGATATATATGAGGACTAAATGGAAGATGAGAACTCTTGTATATGCAGTGGACAGTTGTATCGATGTTGGGTATACTGTATTGTTTATTGTTCAGTCGGTATGTGTCCTGTACTTGCAATAAGTAATGTTATTTATTGCAATTTATGATTTCACACTTTGGAGATTTTTAATTGTCCTCAAATTTGAAATATTGTCTATGCTATTGTTTACTGTTAAACAATAAAACATTGCAAACTTAAAAACAAGTGCATTTATTACATTTTTGCATTGAAGCCTGCAGCATTAAAGCCTATGTTTTTACATAACTTTTCCTGGTCTGAAATCACGTGAGGACAATCTTGAAGGGGTGCATGATGCTTGGCATATCACAGAACAGGGTTCACACCTGGGGGTGCAGCTGAGCTATCCAGAGTAGGTTAAATTGCTGTTGCCAATCACTACACTATGTCTATGTGCATAAGCAGCCAGCCAGTAAGGAAGTGGTGGTGACTTTCCATAGGTGATGGAAGGCCCCGGTAGTGAAGGAGCTTGTGTGCTTAGGCACACAAGTGACCAAAACCCAAACACTGGGTTCAACTAAGGGCTTGGTATGTCCTAGGGCCCCAGTATGGAAGCAAAGGAAGATGGAGTGAGGCCTTGGGGAAAGATTATGCACGGGTGATGTAAAAAATTGAGCTTCCTAGGATTCAAATGTACAGTAATATACGAATCACTGTCATTGGGATGGGGTGACTGGTAATTTGGTTGGTGTAGTCTGTTGCAAGCTCCGCAGCACAGACTCAGAAATGCTGCACAACAGGAGAGAGTAGTGTAATGAGCAACCGTTATCCAGTGTATAAAGAGTATAAAGAGCTAAAAAATTGTGCCACAGATTACAATTAATTAATTATGTCTGTGGAGGAGTGCTGCTTTTACAGAGAGCGCTGTCTTAACTTTGGTTCTGTGTTATGGCATATGCCTCTGTTTTCCAATTGGGGCATGAGCGTGCACTCTCAACCCGTCCCCACTTGGGCACCACCCACACACAGGCTGCTGCCTTGTTTAAATAATAGACTACAAGTGTGGTGACATTGCAGCACTGGTGCTTTATTGAATCTGTTAATCCTTCTGCCACAGTGACAAATGGAAGTCTTTGTCTGACTGACACTCGTTGTCTGTTGAGAAGGTGTTGAAACTTAGTGATCCTCGGGAATGGGTGTTTTTTTCTACAGACGTTAGGAGACCAAAGTTGATACAGTAATGAAAAATTGACCAGCAGAAGGACAATATTAATGAGCAAGGTTAGGCCAAAATTTACTGGAGCAGGTTGGGGTTTTATTACAGAAGATTAGGAGGATACAGCAGTGTAGGATTGATCAACAGCCGGTCAGGTTTAATCATAGATAATGGGGCTAACTGGTGTACAGGGGCGGACTGACAACTCACGGGGCCCCCAGGCAATAGGGGATCATGGGGCCCCTGTGTCCTTGCCCAAACTCAAAAAAGCCTATGAAAAAGGTACTAGGGGCATCGCATGGGGCCCCATACTGACTGCTGGCCCTCGGGCAGTGCCCAAGTTTCTAAGTGGTCAGTCCGCCCCTGCTGGTGTATGCTTAACTTTTATTTTATTTATGGGGATGGAGAGACGGATGCATTGAATGTGTGGTGGTTTAGGTGTCCACCTTTCTTGCTCTTTTTTTTCCTTTTCAAAATACGCAGTGACGTGCTGCAAAGAAAAGGTTAAACCGCAAAATTATACAGTATAGCTGCTTAGCAAATCTTAGATGTGGTAACTGCATTAGTTTTCTTTTTAGGCTTCCCCCCTTATTTTCACTTGGTGATCTGGCCAGTAAGTCTGTTAATGTTCTTGCTCTCTTTATTGACAGTGCCGGGTGTAGGGTTGCCACCTCATCCCTTTAAAACCAAACACATATTAATTACACAGCTTCTGAGGCTAATTTATTGCAGATAAGGCACCAAGGGAGTTTATTTACCACCTTAATCAGCCACAGAACCTATGTAATCAACCCATTCAGTTTTAAAGGGATGAGGTGGCAATTCTAGTCTGGAGACAATGCTTTATACCTGCTGAGAAGAAGACTGATCACTTCCAAAAGTCTCTGTCCTGATTTTTCCTCTCAACTGGACCTGCAGTTGTTACCTATATAAAGTTAATGTTTAGTTCATTTTTATTCTATACAGCACCAGAGACATACCTTACCTCTAATTGTTCTATGTCCTCCTGGCTGCTGCACAATGTAGAAATCTTTTCCCCACTGCTGCTGAGTCCTCCCTACAGTGCAGACCTTCCAGCACTACAAGAGTTATTAGCAGGCATTGTGAGTGTGAAATAGTAGTACAGCTCTTTCGTCCCTTCAACCCGCCCCCTAAATGAGGAAAGTGGCAGGGGCAGGAACATCACCTTAGTAGCAGCATGTTTTTCTGTGCGGGTGGTTGCAGCTCTGGAAACAGGTTCAGTCCCGCAGCGACAATCACCCACACATGTGTGAACCTAGCCTTAGAGGTAAAGTTTGTCCTTGTTGATGCATAAAAATGTAACTAAAGAAGCCATAAGTGAAAATAGAGATGGTAGGTCTGAAGGTTACGTCAAGCAGGTTTGAGTGTTGTGCAACTGTCCACTGTATGGACCTATTTGCTAAATAACATTTGTTGGTAGCAACTTGTTAATCCTCTGTAGACCCTTGCCAAACCAGTTTGTCCAATGCTGTGCTGTTACAAGATCCTTTCCCTTTCCTCTCTGACATTCATTTGGCCATTGCTGACAAGATGATTGAAATCTGGTTTAAATAATATAAACAGGGGTTGTAACCAGGGGCGGACTGAAAACTCATGGGACCCCCGGCAATAGGGGATCATGGGGTCCCTGTGTCCTTGCCCAAAGTCAAAAAAGCCTATGAAAAAAAGTACCAGGGGCATCTCATGGGGCCCCCTACTGACCCCGGGCCCTCGGGCAGTGCCCGAGTTTCCAAATGGTCAGTCCGCCCCTGGTTGTAACCTATAAGTAGCACTAAAGGTGTGCAACACGTAACATACACTAGGGAAATTCATTATTTGATCCCCTGCAGATTTTGTACGTTTGCCCATTTACAAAAGAAATGAAGGGTCTATGGTGTCCGTTTATGACACAGAGAATAGCTGCGATTCAACAGATCTCAGCTATTCTCTGGTCATTCACAGTTTATAACACTCAGGAGATCATGTCAGCCCTTCTCTGGAGATCTGTGTTCTCCCCCCAGATTCTCCAGCCCAGAGCTGGAGAATCAGAGGGACCGAAAACTAAGCAGAGATAGTTTACCTCTGTTTAGTAAACTGATCTTTTACTATAATCTCGAGAGATTATAGTAAAATGAGCCGTTTTTCAGAGTTTGTAGACCGTTCTCCAGCGTTTGGAGACCGTTCTCCCTTCATTCGGAGAACTGTTTCATAAACTGCATTCACAGGAGAACGAGAATGCCGGAGAACTGAGCAGCGATCTATTACCGCTGGTTCACAAACGGACACCTATATTTCTTATAATAGGTGTATTTTAAATGATAGAGATAGAATATTAACTAAAAATCCAAAAAAGACACGTGATACAAATTTTAATAAATTGAGTTGCAGTTCAGTGAGTAAAATAAGTATTTGATTACCAATCAAAACAAGACTTAGTACTTGGTGGAGAAACTCTTGTTGGCAAGCACAGAGGTTAGTCGTTTGTTGTAGTTGGTTATCAGGTTTGCACACATCTCAGGAGGGATTTTGGTCCACTCTTCTTTACAGATCTTCTCTAAATCCTTAAGGTTTCTTGGCTGTCACTTGGCACCTTGAAGTTTCAGGTCGCTCCATACATTTGCTATAGGATTAAGGTCTGAAGACTGGCTAGGCCGGGTGTCGGCAACCCGCGGCTCCAGAGCCGCATGCGGCTCTTTTTCACCTTGGCTGCGGCTCCGGAGCACACTGCCCACCAGGTGACAGGCAATAGGGCAGCAATGGGCAAACTATGGCACGGCGGACCTTTTAATCCGGCCCGCGGAGCTAGGCTCCCGCTAGGCTCCTCTCACAGTCCGCCCTGAAGACCGGTGTAGCATGAAAATCTGTCTCCTATGAGGATCTGTCCCCCTCGACGTATCTGCGCATGTGCTGGAGATCGCCGATCGGCTGCTAATGCCTGAAACTGGCACATGCGCAGATACGTCGAGGGGGACAGATCCTCATAGGAGACAGATTTTCATGCTACACCGGAACGGCGCGGGAACACGGCGAGAGGAACGCGCGGAGCAAAGGTAAGTGAATTGACACAGGGGGGACTTAATATGGGGGATGAATTAATATGAGGGATGATTATTACTATAGGGGGGATGAATTACTATATGGGGGATGAATTACTATGGGGGATTAATTACTATATGGGGGATGAATTACTATGGGGGGATGAATTACTATATGGGGGATGAATTACTATGGGGGATGAATTACTATATGGGGGATGAATTACTGTATGGGGGATGAATTACTATATGGGGGATGAATTACTATGGGGGATGAATTACTATGAATTACTATGGGGGATGAATTACTATATGGGGGATGAATTACTATGGGGGATGAATTACTATATGGGGGATGAATTACTATATGGGGGATGAATTACTATATGGGGGATGTATTTTCAGTTTTAAAAATGTGGCTCTAAAATATATTTCAATCGTGGTTTTGGCGAGATTTGGCTCAGTTGAAAAAAAAGGTTGCCCACCACTGACCTAAGGCTATGATTGTGATTATGACGATACACTGTGGCCCTGATTAACCCTTTGCTTACTGGGCCCTTAAACCCCCTTCATGACCAGAGCGTTTTTTGCAATATATGCAGTGTCGATCTGTTTTAAATGTTGCAATGGTTTTGCGGCTCCCAGTCTTTTTTTCCCTCTCGGAAACGGGTCCAAGTGGCTCTTTATGTCTTAAAGGTTGCAGACCCCTGGGCTAGGCCACTCCATGACCTTAATGTGCTTCTTCTTGAGCCACTGCTTTGTTGCTGTGGTAGTATATTTTGGGTCATTGTCATGCTGGAAGACCCATCCACGACCCATCTTCAGTTTTATGGCCGAGGGAAGAAGGTTCTTATCCAAGATTTTACAGTACATGGCCCCGTCCATTGGCCCCTCAATGTGGCAATGTCGGCCTGTACCTTTAGCAAAGAAACAGCCGCAAAGCATAGTGTTTCCACCTCCATGCTTGACTGCAGAAATGGTGTTCTCAGGGTCATAGTCAGCATTTTTCTTCCTCCAAACATGGCAAATCGAGTTAATGCCAAAGAGCTCAATTTTGGTCTCATCTGACCACAGCACTTTCTCCCAATCCTTCTCTGAATCATTTAGATGTTCATTGACAAACTTTAGATGGGCCTGTACATGTGCCTTCTTGAGGAGGGGGACCTTGCAGGCGCTGCAGGATTTCAATCCATGGCAGCGTATTGTGTTACCAACGGTTTGTTTGGTGACTGTGGTCTCAACTGTCTTGAGATCATTCACAAGCTCCTCCCATAAGTGCAAGTAAGTGACTCCACTTTAACCATTCCCAGTCTTTCATGTAATGTCCCTCATAAGGGACCCCATAAGGGATGATTATGTATGGTTAACTCATGAGTAGTACAGGAAATGTTCAGGGTTTTCAGTATACTTTCAGGTCCGACCATGTCATGTACCTGGTTGGGGAGCCTGATGTGGAGAGAGGACTTCCTCTTACAACTCCCGCTCGGAGCCCCTGATAGTGGGAACAGAGGGTGCAGAGCCAGGAGTGGCACGAGTGCTGTGTGGGTCTAGAGCTGGCGGCAGATAGCTGTGGAACCAGGAGATCAGGCCAGGTGCAGGTGCAGGACCGTAGGTGCAGCAGCAGACAGGTATGGCGGCAATCAGGATGCAGATTGGAACCAGACACCGGAGCGTGGATGCAGTAGCAGGCAAGTATGGCAGTGACCAGGATGCAGGCCAGGTGCAGGACCGCGAGTGCAGTGTCAGGTAAGTATGGCAGCCATCAGGATGTAAGGTGCAGGTGCAGGTAAGTAAATGTAGCAGAGTCAGACAAGCCAGGTCAGTATCAAGCGGGCAGATAAACTACAAGTCAGGCAAATCAGAATACAGGTAACAGGATCAGGAATATGTGCAGGAACGTCGTAGGCCAGAAGGCATTGATTTTACTATTCTGCAGATTTAAATAGCCTGCCTGGCGTGACGTGTACGCTTACTGCGCATGCGCGAGTTTCTGTGTTACTGTGCATGCGCGGCCGCACGCGCCTGCACAATTGCACTGCCACGGCTCGAGGGGATCCGTCGCATGGCTGCACGGCGACAGGATCCCTGACAGACCATTTCCTGTACTAAAGTAGGATCCCTCTTGGTTTCTTGCTCAATTATTTGACAAGTCAGAGGAAGACTCTCAGTCTGATGTATATTGACATATACAGAAGTCTGCATTGATGTGAATGAAGCCATGAAAACCCACCTGCGTCTGCATTGTCACTTTACATAGGACTCATTATCATAGTCAGCAAGAGCTAATGGCCAACATTGCATTTGAGCAAACGGCTGTGGCATAGGCTCCTTTCTTTGTATTCAGTATTGCAACTAGTGGTTGGTGATCAGCTATAAGTGTGTACAAGTTGTACAGAATTTAAAGTGGTTGTAAACCTCTGACATGAAGTATGAACAAAGCATATCCCTCTATAATATGTGATCTGTGAAGGGGTGTTTGTCTCTTCTCTCCAATCAGGTCTCAGAGCTCCCCTCACTGAGCTCTGCAGTGTGCGACATCAGATCCCCACCCCCTGCCTCTGGATGATGAGAAAAGCTGTGCAAATGTAGCACATTGAACTAATGTGGAGGAGATATACTGTAGATAAACAGGTACAACGTATGTAGGAGGATTTGTTTAATCTCTGTGTATTACCTGAGGCCAGTCACTTCACTGGGCATATATAAGGATTTACAACCACTTTAACCACTCGCCTACTGGGAACTTTTACCCCCTTCCTGTGCAGGCCAACTTTCAGCTTTCAGTGCAATTGTACTTTGAATGACAATTGCGCGATCATGCAACACTGTGCCCAAACTATTTATTTCAGGTACTTATATAGCGCCGTCAATTTACGCAGCGCTTTACATATATATTGTACATTCACATCAGTCCCTAACCCTCAAGGGGCGTACAGTCTAAGGTCCCTAACTCACATTCATACATACACATACTAGGGACAATTTAGAGAGAAGCAAATTAACCTACCAGCATGTCTTTGGAATGTGGGAGGAAACCGGAGTACCCGAAGGAAACCCACGCAGGCACAGGGAGAACATGCAAACTCCAGGCAGGTGGTGCCGTGGTTGGTATGCAATCCAATGACCCTAGTACTGCCAGGTGGAAGTGCTAACCATTTAGCCACTGTGCTGCCCGTACTACTAAATTTTTATCTTTTTTTGAGACAAATAGAGCTTTATTTTGGTGGTATTTAATCACCACTGAGTTTTTCATTTTTTGCTAAACAAACAAAAAAAGACCAAAAATTTGAAAAAAAAAAAGTTTTTCTTAGTTTCTGTTATAAAGTTTTGTAAATAAGTGATTTTTCTCCTTCACTGATGTGCGCTGATGAGGCTGCATTGATATGTGGCACTGATAGGTGGCAATTATGGGCACTGATAGCCAGCACTGATGGGTACTGATAGCCGGCACTGATAGCAAGCACTGATGGGCACTATTAGCCGCACTGTTGTGGCTATGTTGATCATCAGGGCCCTGATGACCAGTGTAGATGTCCCCTCTGAAAAATGCTGGACACAGCTGATCACTTGGTAAAAGGCAGCTCTGATTGGCCCTTTACCTGGACACGTGATCAGCTGTCTGAAGGACACAGTAATCACAGCTCGAGCACGGTGTACACCCCAGGTGTGCGCGTGTAGTTCTGGGATGATGTCCTTAGACGCCCTCCTAGAACTAGCCGATCATGCTGTAGCCGTCTTTAGCGCAGCTGGGAACTGGTTAAATCTCTTCATGCCCTTTATATAAAAATGTACCCAGGTGTTAGGCTAAGAGCGAGAGAAACACTGGCTGCAGCTGCTCTCTGTAGCTATTGCCCTGCGATGCTGAACTGACTAACAGCTCTATCAGCAAGAGGAGGGAGCTACAGAGCAGGAAGAATTCAATAGACTGAGTCAGGTAGCATTGCACTGTGGGAACTGTAGTCCAAAGGAGAGAGACTACTGTAATCAAGAGCTTTTGATCTGTATTTTCCAGAGAGAGAATGCCAGGAGGAGGGGAAAGAGCTGGATTTTCTTAGGATGTACTGTCCTAGCTATTCTCCTAGAAGTTCACTCTAGTTGCTTGCGGACTGAACCTCATACATCTACTGTGGAAGGGCAGCTACTCTTCCTGAATCATAGACCTAGTACGTGATCCACACTTCTGGGTTGGGTATGCGCACATGCCCGCCATCCCAGGCTACGCTGTGATTCGGCACAACACAAGTCAATCAGTGGGTCCCAGGCAATGATTGACAGCTGGGACCTGCTGATTGGCTCAGTGAATCACAGAAGATTGCTTAGTAAAAGCAGCACACAGTAAACACATTACACTTTGTTAGGCACACAGTTAAACCTTTGATCGCCCCTAAATGTTAACCCCTTCCAAGTTAGTGTCATTAGTACAGTGACAGTGTAATGTATTAGCACTGATCACTGTATTAGTGTCACTATTGATGTCAGTGTCAGTTAGTGTACCCCCCCCCCCCCCCCAGCTAGCATCGGCTAATGTCAGATTGCCGGCTGCACTATCACAGTCCCATTATAAGTCGCTGATCACCACCATTACTAGAATAAAAAATAAATAAATAACAATTCCAGTATATGCAGCATAGTTTGCAGGCGCTATAATGTTCATGCAGACCAAATAATATACACTTATTGGGATTTGTTTTTACTAAAGATGTAGCAGAATACATTTTGCTCACACTTTATGAAATTAGATTTTTTTTTTGTTTTCTATTAGACATGTTTTATAGCAGAAGGTATAAAATATTGTTTTTTGTTCAAAAGTTTCATTTATATAATAAAAAAAAAAATTAAAAACCCAGGGGTGATCAAATACCACCAAAGGAAACGCTATTTATGTGAAAACAAAATATATAAATTTAATTTGGGTAGAGTGTTGCATGACTGCGCAATTGTCAGTTAAAGTAGTGCCGTGCCGAATAGCAAAATAGTGGCCTGGTCACGAAGGGGGTAAAATCTTCTGGAGAGCAAATGGATATATTATAGTATCATTATCATTGAAATGCTTATGCCCTGATGGATGTCTTGATTCCAGTAATGGGAGAGAACTCTATTCTAAGGTACTTTGTCATAGTGAATATATTGCCTAGTGGACTACCTGCCTTTTGCCTGCTCATGCTGCTCTAACCTGAACCAATCCCCTGACTTAATTTACCCGACTGTGTGTCCAGGGGCAGACTGACCAGGGGCCCATGATCATTGCCCTATTGCCCGGGGTCAGTAGGGGGCCCCATGAAATGCCCCTGGTACCTTTTTTATAGGCCTGAGTTTGGCAAGGACACAGGGGCCCCATGATCTCCTATTGTGGGGCCCCATGAAATGCCCCTGACCTTTTTTATGGCCTTTTTGTGTGCTATGAGTGTGTGCAAGGACACAGGGGCACCATGTTCCCCTATTTCCCGGGGGCCCCATGAGTTGTCAGTCCGCCCCTGCTTGTGTCTATTCCCTGGAGCTACTTCACAGTTGGAGGAATGTATCTTCATGTTCTATCATTCAAGTAGGTGTGTCAGAGGGGCTGAGGTTGTTCCTGGAGTCGAGGCACAGAACAGAGAACCCAAATTACCTGGCGGCTGCTGTGTGGGTGTAGTGCTACTCAGACTAGGCCTGCCCTGTCTATGTAACTAATCCTAGTTGTGTTCTGCACTTGGAAGGTCACTGCGAGGTAAAAGCTTTCACTTTTGTCTGGAAGACCATGACATATCACTGCTTTAACTCCATGTGGAAACATCAGTGACACCAATGTAAGGGGTCACTTTACCACAAACACCAATTTAAGGAGACATTTTATCACTGACACCAATGTAAGGGGTCTCTTTATCACTGACACCAATGTAAGGGGTCACTTTATCACAGATACTACTGTTAGGAGACACTTTATCACTGACACCAATGTGAAGAGATCCTTTATCACTGACTCCAATGTAAGGGGTCACTTTATCACTGACACTGATGTAAGTGGGCACTTTATCACTGACACCATTGTAAGGGGTGACCTTATCACTGACACCAATGTAAAGGGTCACCCTATTATTGATACTGATGTAAGTGAGCACTTCATCACAGATGCCAATGTAAGAGTTCACTTAAACACTGACACCAATGTAAGGGGGTCACTTTATCACTGACACCAATGTAAGAATTCACTTTATCACTGACACCAATGTAAGGGTCACTTTATCACCAATGTAAGGGGGTCACTTTATCACTGACACCAATGTAAGGGGTCACTTTATCACTGACACCAATGTAAGGGGTCACTTTATCACTGACACCAATGTAAGGGGTCACTTTATCACTGACACCAATGTAAGGGGTCACTTTATCACTGACACCAATGTAAGGGGACACTTTATCACTGACACCAATGTAAGGGAACACTTTTGACATCACTGACACCAATGTAAGGGGTCACTTTATCACTGACACCAATGTAAGGGGACACTTTATCACTGACACCAATGTAAGGGGACACTTTATCACTGACACCAACGTAAGAGTTGGTCACCTGTCTCCTCCCTGTAGAAGGGCGGATGGCGGTCAGGTATGTAGAGTTGTAGATCATACACACTGTATGTCAGCGGCGGTCACCTGTCTCCTCCCTGTAGAAGGGCGGACGGCGATCAGGTATGTAGAGTTGTAGATCACACACACTGTATGTCGGCGGTGATCACCCGTCTCCTCCCTGTAGAAGGGCAGACGGCGGTCAGGTATGTAGAGTTGTAGATCACACACACTGTATGTCGGCAGTGGTCACCCGTCTCCTCCCTGTAGAAGGGCGGACGGCGGTCAGGTATGTAGAGTTGTAGATCACACACACAGTATGTCGGTGTCTCCTCCCTGCGGTCACGGCCTGTGCTCACTCCACTGTATGTCGGTGAAGGGTCTCCTCCCTGGAAGGGCGCGTCGGGTCGGGTATGTAGAGTTGTAGATCACACACACACACTGTATGTCGGCGGTGGTCATCTGTCTCCTCCCTGTAGAAGGGCGGACGGCGGTCAGGTATGTAGAGTTGTAGATCACACACACAGTATGTCGGCGGTGGTCACCTGTTTCCTCCCTGTAGAAGGGCGGTTGGTGTTCAGGTATGTAGAGTTGTAGATCACACACACTGTATGTCGGCGGTGGTCACCCGTCTCCTCCCTGTAGAAGGGCGGACGGCGGTCAGGTATGTAGAGTTGTAGATCACACACACTGTATGTCGGCGGTGGTCACCCGTCTCCTCCCTGTAGAAGGGCGGACGGCGGTCAGGTATGTAGAGTTGTAGATCACACACACTGTATGTCGGCGGCGGTCACCTGTCTCCTCCCTGTAGAAGGGCGGACGGCGGTCAGGTATGTAGAGTTGTAGATCACACACACAGTATGTCGGCGGTGGTCACCTGTTTCCTCCCTGTAGAAGGGCGGATGGCGGTCAGGTATGTAGAGTTGTAGATCACACACACTGTATGTCGGCGGTGGTCACCTGTTTCCTCCCTGTAGAAGGGCGGATGGCGGTCAGGTATGTAGAGTTGTAGATCACACACACTGTATGTCGGCGGTGGTCACCTGTCTCCTCCCTGTAGAAGGGCGGATGGCAGTCAGGTATGTAGAGTTGTAGATCACACACACTGTATGTCGGTGGCGGTCACCTGTCTCCTCCCTGTAGAAGGGCGGATGGCGGTCAGGTATGTAGAGTTGTAGATCACACACACAGTATGTCGGCGGTGGTCACCTGTCTCCTCCCTGTAGAAGGGCGGACGGCGGTCAGGTATGTAGTTGTAGATCACACACACAGTATGTCGGCGGTGGTCACCTGTTTCCTCCCTGTAGAAGGGCGGTTGGTGGTCAGGTATGTAGAGTTGTAGATCACACACACAGTATGTCGGCGGTGGTCACCTATCTCCCTGTAGAAGGGCGGTTGGTGGTCAGGTATGTAGAGTAGTAGATCACACACACTGTATGTCGGCGGTGGTCACCTGTCTCCTCCCTGTAGATGGGCGGTTGGTGGTCAGGTATGTAGAACTGGAGATCATACACAGAGCAGCCCTTGGTGCCCCTCCCCTTTCTCCTCCCCCTCTCCGGGCTGAGCACGGGGCGGGCGGATGGCGGTGACATGCTGCTTCTGCTGAGGAGGAGCCGCTCGTTGCTCCGGAGCTGCGTGCAGTTCCTGATCTTATCTCAGCCCGCAGGGTCGGTTGGTGGCACGGATCGGATAAACGATTATTTTCTAAACGGCAGACCCGGCGATCTGTACGCTGTGCCCCGGACCGAGCTGCAGAGGGCGATCGGAGAGAAGACGATGGCAGAGGAACGGCAGCGGCCGGACGAGGGGGCGGCGGAGACAGAGAGGTGAGCCTCCCCGGTGTAGGGTCCAGTCCTATAAAGCGTCCCCTTCCCCCGTGTATGGTCCAGTCCTATAGAGGCCCCCCCTCATTCCAGTGTATGGTCCAGTCCTACGATCATTGTAGTAGAGAGGTGTGCAGGTGAGGGGGGCGTGGTCACATAATGGGGATGTAATGGGGGCACACTTGCAGTGTGATCCTACAGAAAGTTTAGAGCTGGGGGCACACTTGCAGTGCATTATGGGCCTGGTACAGCACAACAGCGTCTGCTTTTGTATTTTAAATCTATGTATATACAGTCTGAAGTATACATGCACCGCAAACAGGTTCTCTTATGACCTGCATTGTGCTCCAGAGATCAATACTGGGCCAGTGCAGGGAGAACATTGATGATAAAGAGGAGGGTTTACTAATGCTGGAGCAGTAACCAATCAGCTTCTAGCTTTCATTTTTAAAGCTGTATGAAACAAACTGAAGCTAGAAGTTGATTGGTTACTATGCCCCCCCCCTCCCCCTTACAGATTCTGTCTGCTGTAGTTTTAGTAGATCCCCCCCCCCCCCCCCCCATGTGTGCTGCATAGAGTTGAATGAAGTGACACCAAGGGCCAGTTTCACACCACAAAAACCTTTCTCCGGATGCATTTTTTGCACACAGTTCACACCACATGCAGTTCCGGTGCAGTTTTGATGCAGTTTATGTTCCAATATGGTTCTGGAAGAAATGCAGCATGTTCTACTTTTTTCTGCACCAGAACTGACTGCACTGGTGTGAACAGGGCCATGGGAAAACATTGCGTATGCATTTTTGATGCAGAAAAAACGCATTGGACTGCATCTAATGTGAACTAGCCCTCAGGGCCGGTTCACACTATAGAAACGCAGTCAGGATGCCTTTCTGCATGTGCGTTTTTGATGCATTCCAGTTAATTTTTTCCCCAATTTAAAGGACATGTGCGTTTTTTGATGCGTTTTGCCGCGTTCCGGTACAGTTATGTGCAGAAAAAATGCGGCATGCTCTACTTTTTTTTTTTTTTTTTTTTTTTTTTCCTGGAACTGCAAGCACTGATGTGAACTATGACGTTGACGACCATATATCCTACTTTTTGTGCATTTTGGATGTAGAAAAAAAAAAGCACCTGAAACGCATGATGTGTGAACTGGCCTTTCACCACTTGCCTACCGAGCACTTATACCCCCTTCATGCTCAGGCCAGTTTTCAGTGCTGTCACACTTTGACAGTTGTGCAGTCATGCAACATTGTACCCATATGAAATTTTTATCAAGCAAACATTAAAAAAAAAACAAACATTTTCTTTCTATTATAAAATTTTGTAAACAGGTAATTTTTCTCCTTCACTGATGTGCGTTGAGGCAGCACTGATGAGGTGGCGTGGATAGACAGCACTGATGATAGGCAACAATGATGGGCACTGATGGGGGGGCACCGACTGGTGGCACTGTTGGGCACTGCCGGGCGTTATTGCTGGACACTTGTGGGTGGCACTGATCGTCAGTGCCGATCCATCCTCTCACAATTGCCGGTTATTGGCAGTACTTTCCTCACGCTGTGACAGTTCATTGATTCTTCCTGTCAGTATATCTGCTTGCCCGTACGGATATGCTGATATGTCTGCAGGATAGGGATGACCCATCCATATCTGCTATGTTTATGCAGACTAGATATGGACAGAGCCTGCTCTGCTCTATGGGCGGCCAGGTGTGAACAGACTCCACTGTCTGCTTAGATCCAACTACTCTCCGATCTGATCCGCCTAGACAGAGGAGTATGGATCCCCATCTGTTTGTCCATCAGATTGGAAGTAGGCTGGTGTAAACAGATACAGGTCAGCTTATACCCATTGGCCTTTAGGGTTGAATGGACCAACCATCCAGTCAAGTCCACCTGAAAAAACTGACCAACGGACCTGATTGGAACAGTCAAAAGGGACCTTATACTTATCCTAATGTAAGGGTGGTCCAGTCACATATTTGGCTCCCAGCGCTGGCTTCAGGGTAGAAGAGAGACAACTGTACAACAGTATGGATGGAGCATAGGTTCACTATATTTATTTTCATTTATTTCAGGTACTTATATAGCGCCGTCAATTTACGCAGAGCTTTACGCATATATATATTCTACATTCCCATCTGTCCCTAACCCTCAAGGGGTGTACAATCTAAGGTACCTAGCTTACATTCATATATACACATACTAGGGCCAATTTACACAGGATCAATTTCACCTACCAGCATGTCTTTGGAGTGTGGGAGGAAACCAGAGTACCCGGAGGAAACACACGCAGGCACAGGGAGAACATGCAAACTCCAGGCAGGAGGTGCCGTGGCTGGGATTTGAACCAAATACCCTAGTACTGCCAGGCGGAAGTGCTAACCATTTAGCCAACTATAAGTACAAACTAGATTGGGTGCAAGGAAGGCACAGGTGCAACGTACAGCCTGTAAAACCAATGATAGGCTGAAATACACAATGGTTGGACATTACAAGTAGTACTTGTGTTTTGGACTATATACATTAAAGTGGTTGTAAAGGCACAAGGTGTTTTACCTTTTATGCATTCTGTGTGCAGCAGCCCCCTCAATACATACCTGAGCCCTATCTCAATCCAGTGATGTGCACTAGAGCTTCAGCTGTCCTGGGTCTCTCCCTCTTCATAGGCTGAGACAGCAGCGGGAGTCATTGGCTCCCACTACTGTCCATCACAGTCAGTGAGCCAATGAGGAGAGAGCGGGGGCAGGGCTGAGCCGCTGCTGTCTGTGTGAATGGACACAGAGCAAAGGCTTGGGAGCGAGCCGGCTCAGGTGCCTCTGTATCAAGCTGTTTGCTGTTGGGGTACTTGGCAGGATGGGGGGACCCAAGAAGAAGAGGATCGGGGCTGCTCTGTGCAAAAATGTTGCACAGAGCAGGTAAGTATAACATGTTTGTTATTTAGAAAAAAAAAAAAATCTGCCTTTACAATCACTTAAGGGATGTTTGCCACAAACCTGATAATTCCACATTCAGTTCAAATGACCCTAAATATGAGTGCTGTTTAGAATAAAGTGCAACCACATACAGACGCTAGGTGTTTTTGCCTGTATTTGGTTTTGAAGGGCTGCCGGTAGTGGGCTGTATGATGCATTTGTGCCTTCCTTGCACCCAGAAATGTTGGCTTTGTACACCGCATGAGCCCTAAAGTGCCTTTTTGGAGTCCTATAAGAAGATGTAAATCTTTGTAAAGAAACCAAATATTTTTGTGAACCTATAAAAACTGGCTCCTGCTGCTGTCCAACAAATGCTGTGATAAGGGAGCAGGGATGGGGACAAGCCACATAGTGTGTGTCAACAGATGCACACAGCCCGGCTTGAGTTCAAGCCTGCACATCTGCTCCCTTAGCAAGTGGCTTTCTACAGGGGCTAACTGAGAAGAGGTGGATCACATTACTATTGCACGGAGCAGCTAAGTATAACATGTTTAATATTTTAATTAAAGGTACTTGCAGTTCACCCCCGGTGCACACAGCATGTACACTGACAGCACTGTTCTGTACCATTATAGGGGATGGATGAGTCCAGAGTTCTGTCATTAACTGTCATGCATGTGACCTTGTGCTCCTAGACTCCTGCATAGAGCAGTGTGGTGTGCTATACATGGAGTGTAAAGATAAGTGAACTAATCTGATCACTGCTTGTTGAAGAATGCAGGTCTTGTGATTTATGGTGTACATAGTTTACCAAGTCCTATAGCATGTTTGTCATGCTGTAAATCCTATAGCATGTTTGCCATGCTGTAGCCCACAATAGCTTGTACCCCTTTAGGATTTTTTATTTTTTTTGCCACTGTGCAGTGAAATATAAGCACAAAATAGATTCGGTTGTGCTCAAGGATGCAGCATATAATGACCCCCCAGGACTCCCTTATGGGTCACAAAACATAGATATATGTAAGCTAGCAAACATTGTCCGCTTGTGCTGTAGCTAGATGTCCCAACGGACACAGATCTCTGTTTGGAGGCCCGTAAGTAGTGTTTGCTGTATGGCTGATTGCACTGCATGTGCAAGGTTTACTAAACCGATTATAAACCTAGCGCTTTGATCTGTTCATGAGCAGCACATTTCATCTTTCAGACACTTTGACTTAACCAAGTCCATTTGTCCTAATTGAAGCGTAGTGATATAGACTAGCCCATTACAGCCAATCAGATTTTAGTGGTTTAGTGTAATCTTGCTTAAAAGACCTTTACCATAGTGGCAGAATCACCGTAATCTAGATACAGTCAGGTCCATAAATATTGGGACATCGACACAATTCTAACATTTTTGGCTTTATATACTACCACAATGGATTTGAAATGAAACGAACAAGATGTGCTTTAACTGCAGACTGTCAGCCTTAATTTGAGGGTATTTACATCCAAATCAGGTAAACGGTGTAGAAATTACAACAGTTTGCATATGTGCCTCCCACTTGTTAAGGGACCAAAAGTAATGGGACAGAATAATAATCATAAATCAAACTTTCACTTTTTAATACTTGGTTGCAAATCTTTTGCAGTCAATTACAGCCTGAAGTGTGGAACGCATAGACATCACCAGACGCTGGGTTTCATCCCTGGTGATGCTCTGCCAGGCCTCTACTGCAACTGTCTTCAGTTCCTGCTTGTTCTTGGGGCATTTTCCCTTCAGTTTTGTCTTCAGCAAGTGAAATGCATGCTCATTCGGATTCAGGTCAGGTGATTGACTTGACCATTGCATAACATTCCACTTCTTTCCCTTAAAAAACTCTTTGGTTGCTTTTGCAGTATGCTTTGGGTCATTGTCCATCTGCACTGTGAAGCGGCGTCCAATGCGTTCTGAAGCATTTGGCTGAATATGAGCAGATAATATTGCCCGAAACACTTCAGAATTCATCCTGCTGCTTTTGTCAACAGTCATATCATCAATAAATACAAGAGAACCAGTTCCATTGGCAGCCATACATGCCCACTCCATGACATTACCACCACCAT